GTATGATGGAGGAGGACAAGGTGACTTACACAGAGAGATGCCATGTAGAAAGGTCCCAGGAGGGGAGTTGAATCTGGTTCTGAATTTTCCTGGGAAGAATAGCATTGAAAGTGGCAGGAAAGTAGAAGGTGGGAGGGTCTTATCCCCCTCTTGGTTAAGGTTTTTCCTTGTCTTGTTACTCTAAGAATAAAATTCAAGGCCCAGACATGAATTGAGAAAGTCCAGCATGACTCTGTACTGTAGTGTCCACAGGTAAGCTGTGGCTACTGAGTCCTTGAACTGTGACTGGCACACATGGGAACCTGAATTGTTTTATTTCATGTAACAGTGACTGACCACAGAGAGAAGGCTGTCATCATCACAGAAAGGATAGTCCCATCTCGTGCCTACCATCTACCATCTCCCTGTCACTCATCTGTGGGTTCAAAACTATGCCAGGATCATGACCTTTTTACTCACTGTTCCATTCTCCTGGAGTCCCCTGTCCCTCTCCTGAGGCAGGCAGCTGCCTCCCAAGCTCCAGGTCTTCACCTAGCCACTCTGCCTTCCGGAGAGCATTGCCCCTCTCTGCATTCTCTATCAGCCTCCCATCAGTCTCCTCTACAACACTTATAGTTATTTGTCATCAGTTGTAGCCTGTGCATGTACAATTCACCCTTTGTCTACCCCATTATAATGTAAGCCCCATGTGTGCAGGATGTGGTCCTTATTGTGGTACCCCCAGTCCTGGCAGTATCTCAGTCCATAGGCAGGTGAGGCTGATGAGCACACTGTGTAGAGGGGTGGGCATTCATGCAGAGGCACAGGAGCAGGCATCAACATGGAGCAACTTGTTAAGAAGGACTAATAGGAAAACAGGAGGCTAGGAGGGAACACAGAGAGGCTATTTAGAGATTGGAAAGTGGCCAAGTGGGTTCATCAGGGCTGGTTGTAAGAGGCCTGAGTTAGGCAATTGTTGAAGACCCTCCTGTCTGATCAAAGGTTCTCAGGTAGAAAAGGCTTGACAACAGAGAGCAGGCCCCATGGCCACAGTAGGAAGTTCAGAGTGCCTGAAACTGAGGGCAGCTACAAAGACAGGCAAGAAAAAGAGGGGGTCCACTGTGACAAGTGTAGTGTCCAAAAAAGGATACCTCGCCCTGGGAGGGCGAGAGTCTGCATAAGTTTGGAGTACACCTGGAGGACGAAAACCTGTGCAAGGGGAAGCGGCAGTTTCATTACTCCAAAAAGCAGCACAAGCTTCAGAGGGTGCTCAGCCATCTTCAACCTGCCGCAGCCCCTTTCCCTTCTCTAGAAGGTAAACCTCATGAAGTAAGACTTTGTCTCCTTGATCACTGAGTCCTCAGGGTCTAGCACCTGTCATATAGCAAAAGTAAGTACTTACTGAATAAATGAGCTCATCTTCCATATTGAAGCCACAAGCACCCATCACTTGTCACTCAACTCATGCAGAGTTGAACGTTGAGAGTTACATTTGGGTCACACTTAAGTCTGAGGGCTGCAGTAAGAGAAAAAGATATCCACTCTGATCCATTCATTCCAATGCCTTGAAGAAGGAAAACTTAGTTATCTTGTTGCAGAGTCAAGTAGAATTAACTTATTTCAGGAAGCTTTCCCCATACCACACCCTCATCCTCCCAACTCAAGTCATCTGTGTGTGTTAGAATTTTTCACTGCCTAAAAATAAGTTCTGGTAGTCACCCAAAAGGATGCAACTTCAATGCTCTGCTCAAGCAATAGTGTGCCCTTGACATTCATTCTTTACTTCAGCAATCACCATTTTGGTTGGTGTCTGAGACAGGACCACAAGTGAAGCAAGACTCAAGCAGATTGGGAGTGGGTGGCTTTGGCTGGCTCACAGCCCCACTTCTCCCCTCTCAACACATCTTGCTCACCTGCCACCAAGCCTGTGCCTCCGTGCCCCCTCCTCTCCTTCTCCCAGGGCAGAAGTGGGACCTGGGCTCAAATCTAGGCTTCACTCCTGATGGACCCTTTCTCAGTGTTACCTCTCTGTGTGGCACACTGCAAAGGTGGCTGTGAGAGGCCCAGATCAAACACAGCATGCGGAGTAGACCTGGTGGTGCACAGCAGAGGCTCAGCCAATGCCTGCTGATTGTCAGCACCCCCAACCACTCACAGGAACCCCTCCATTGTAGTGCCCGGGGAAAGGAAACACTGAATTCAGGTTCTCTCACCCTACAAACTCCAGAGTGCATCAGAATTCTAGAGGGGTGGGGCCACAGTGGATTGTAGGAACAGCAAAGCTGATCTTTCCTTTTACAGATCCAGTGCCAGAGACTATCAAGGGCACATCGGGAAGGAAGTTAGTGACTGGAACTGGAGCCCAGCTGGCCTGGCTTCCGTGTAGTGCAATGGGCATGGATGCTGCTAAAAGACTGGTCCCTGGCAGGGTTTGGCACCCATTACTTGTCTCAAAGAATTTGTGAGGAAGCAGCTCCCACTGGTGTTGAGGGCCCAGGTCATGGGTCCCGGCTCCCTGTGTTTGGCCTTGGCTCTGCCGGCTACCAGCTGGGGACCTCACTGAGCCTCAGTTTCCTCATCTGGAAAAGGAGTTCAAAGAGTTCAAAAGATGTGGGTGGGGCAAAGGGCTTAACTCCAGGTCTGGTTGGCAGGAGAGGTGCCTGTAGGAATCAGCAAAGGTTGGCTGGTGCTACCAACACAGCAGGAACAATCTGAGAACCAAAATAACAGTGCTAACCAGAGACTCGAACTTTATACCAGCACTGTTTTAAAGAGAACCTGCTTTGACTTCTGTAGAGCTGCTTTTATGGGAATATGGGCTACACCGATCACCTCCTTCAGGGCCCTTCTATATCCTAGAAGGTAGCAAAATTATCATTCGTTAAGGACTTAATAAAGGCTTAGTGTGGCCAGCAGATTAGGTTTCAAATAGGCCAAATGTGTGATACAATGGAGTTGCATTTTTATATGCTATCATGTATACTTTATAGTACACCTGGGCCCTTCTATAACCTGTGTGCATTGAACTTTAATGCCCACTTTTCAGGACTTCTATAAGCAGGCTGTGTAACATAGTGCAGTGAGCACAGCAGCAGGAGTCACCAGGCCTGTTCAGAAGAGAGGCTCTGCCACATGGGGCCTGAGACCAGAGGCAGCCACTGCCCCTCCTCCTCTGTGACGTGGGGAGCAGGGCTGGGTGACATCCACGGCTCTGTCCAGCCCTGGCCTTTTGTGCTGAAAACAGTCTACACTGTGGAGGAGATAAAGTTGCAGGCATTCAGCTTCATAGTCAATGTTTTTGTCACCTCCCTGATATACTTGTCACAATGCTTTTAGGAGCACAGTCCTCCATGATAAAACTGTTTCTAGTGGAAACTGTGGTTTGCTTTCCAGTTGCTCGGGGGTGGGTGGGGGCTCTCAGGAGCACCTTTTGGTGAAAAGCTGGGCTCCCCATATATGACACCCAAGTCTCCAGAATTGAGTGAGTGACCCTCATAGAGCTGCTGAGGTGGCCACTTGATTTGTCCATTCATTTATTTGCCATACTGGGGATTTAACCCAGGGCCTCAAGCATGCTTGGTGAGAACTCTGTTGCTAAGCTATGTCCCTGCCTCTTTTCAAAAGTACTTTGATAGAAAGAGTACTTTCTTGCCTCAGCCTCCTGAGTAACTGGGATAACAGGTGTGCACCACCTCACCGGCTTCATCATTTAGCTTTTTTTTTTTTTTTCTTTTGCAGAACCGGGGATTGAACTCAGGCCATTGCACTTGTTAGGAAAGCACTTATTCTACTGAGCCATCTCCCCAGCCCCTCACCGGCTTCATCGACTTGATCTATTCCCTGTACAGAATTCTCAGCAAGCTTAGATTTCTGGGTGTCCATTCCACTGCAGGTTAAGGGCAAACTAAACTGCTATGTGTGTAAGCTGGGAACAGCAACTACAGGTGACAGCAAAAGTAACAGCTGTGACATCACACAGCTTTGTAGACCCAAACTCTAAGCTGAGCAGACTACGCTGCTCCAGAGCTGTGATGGCTGTGCGAATGAGAGCTCTGGGGCATGGAGAAGTGGGGAAAGTGTTCAGTGTCGCCTGCTTCAGGGTGCTGGGCAGGGAGGGAGGGAGGGAGGCCTTTCAGGGATTCCTGTCAAAGTACTTTGAAAAATGCTCAGGTACTGTCACACACCTAAGTCACCCGTGGGGGCTCCCTCCACACCTGGGGAGGGCACACCTGAATGAAGAGTCACCATGCACGTCCTGGGGCACCAGTGTCTACAGAAGGCCCACATCAGTGCTAGGACAGCAAGTCCACAGTGAGTAGTTCTAGGGATGAGGCAGCTTCAGTTCTTCAGTAAGAATGGGTAGAATTTGCTTTATCTTAAATTAGCTTGGCACTAATCCACCCATTGAACAATGTCATGTTATGTTATGTTGTGTTACAGTATGTTATGTGCCAGGCACTGTCTTAGGGCCTGCGTATGAGGTTTCAGAGAGGATGCCCTATTCAGGTGGCATTTGCAAAAGTGACAGATGTGCTACTTGGTGGTTTTGCATTTCAAATCTGGCCCTTGGTGAGGCTTCCTGCCCGGACTTTGCTCCTCTAAGCCTGAAGCTGCTTTAGAGCAGAATGAGTGGTCTCCGAAATCTTGCTCAGTCCCGCTGGGCAGATGCTGTGCTTTGCCACAGGCTGGGCGCCCCCGTGGCCAGGCTGGTCTCTGCCTTGACCTCTGTCCAGGGAGAGGGTCACTTGGCTCTCCTGAGGCTGGGCTGGGGCTCAGGAAAGTCTCTTTTCCTAGAGAGCAGCGTCCTGGTTCCTGAGCTGAGCGCATACCTTCCCCGTGAGCCAGCAGGAACAGGGCAGAGGGGCGTCTCCCCGAGCTCCGGGTCGTGGGCAGAGAAAGGACAAGGCCGCGGGACGCGAGCTTCCCACCCCGCCGGCAGCCCTGCCCCCTGGAGCGCTCGCTCCCGCAGCGGCAGCGCCCTGCAGCTCCGCGTCAGAGCACAAGGAGCAGCCCCGCCGAGTGGGTGGTGCAGGCAGGGAAGGTATATCCTGTCTGACCGAGGGCGGGCCGCCAGTGCCTGGAGAGGGCAGAGCCGGGCGGAGGCCGGAGCCGCTGCAGGGAGTCCTCCCGCGAGCGAGCGAGCGAGCGCACACCCTATGGCCACAGGGAGCCGCTGAGCGCGAGGAGACCACGCCGCCGCCCCGCCGCCCCGCACCGCCTGCGCCTGTCCCCGCCGGCTGGCCGCCGCCACCATGAACCACTCGCCGCTCAAGACCGCCTTGGCGTACGAATGCTTCCAGGACCAGGACAACTCCACGCTGGCCCTGCCGTCCGACCAGAAGATGAAGACAGGCACGTCGGGCAGGCAGCGCGTGCAGGAGCAGGTGATGATGACCGTCAAGCGGCAGAAGTCCAAGTCTTCCCAGTCGTCCACACTGAGCCACTCCAACCGAGGTGAGGCTCGGCCGCGCGGGCTGCCTGGCGCGTCCTGGTCGGGCAGCGGCGCCAGGGATGGGGCGGCTGGCCCCAAGCAGGGGCGCCTTAGGTGGAAGCTGCTCCTTGGGGTGGGTTGCGACGAATCTGAGCCGTGGCCTGAGACTGTCTAGTCGGTTCCACGAACTCAAAGGCGTGCCAGTGGGCAAGAGTGGGTAACTAGCAGAGGGACGCAGCCGGGAGCGTCTCTCCAGCCCCGCCTGGAGGCCGAGGGTGCCCTGGAGCTGTCCTCCGTGCCCACAGCCCCGGGTGGGACGACTTTGTTTCCCTGGCCCTGCCCTGGGGATCTTCCCAAATTCCATCTGGCCAGTCCTGTGGCAGCGGCCCCCGTGCTCCCCAAGGATTATGTGCTACCTCCCCTGTCGGTCCTTCCATGGCTTTGCAACCCCTTGGCCTTCCGCGTGCAGTTGGAGCCCAGAGCTCAGGGTGAGCAGGACTCCAGTCCTGGTGGGCCGGGTGTGTAGGACCAGCCAGGCTGCTAAGCAGGCTGCTGAGACCTCAGTTCAGGGACTCTGGGGCTGGATGGGCAGCGCCCCGGGGAATGGGAATGAGTCCCCAGACCACCACAGCACTTTAGGAGGAACTTCATGCCCAGAAGAGGCAAATTTGGCTGGAAGTCCTTCCCAGAGCCGTCCAACTCTGACCACAGGGAAGGCTGTGGGGACACCCCGTGTCCCCAACAGCTAACGCAGAAATCCCATTGTAGGTTCCTGCAAGTGTCCCGCGGGAAGACTGGGGGCTGAGAGTGGCAAGGCTGGGAATTCCCCTTCTCCAGGGAAGAGCTCAGCTGGTTACACCTGGACACTTTTCAAATCCAGATTATGATCTGATCTCCCTCATCAGTTTCTATAAGTGACAGAGTCCCTAACAGGGGAAAGCTAGCAGAAACTGGAAGGTCTGGTACATGGTGGGCCTATTGGGAGGGTTTATGAAAACATAGTTTAATATAGCGAAATCCCATTAAGAAAAATGTGTGCGACCGTTGTGTTTTAGCTAAGTTTGGTAAAATGCTAATAATGCATGCTACACACCAGTCTGGGTCACCCAGGACTTAACTAATAAGCCAACCTTGGAGTGTGAGTGGCAGAAGGACTGAGGTGGATGGAGACAAAGGAGATAGAGCTCTGGCCATTTCCCCACCACAGGCACACACAGCAGCTCACACTCAGCCTCTGGCTTCAGCTCCCGCCTTCCTAAGTGGCCCTGTGTAGAGAAAATGGCAGGCAGCAGACTTCCCCACCTGCCACACCTAAAGGCCTTCACTGTTCCCAGTGCCCTTTGCCCTTGTCTCTTCTGCCACACTTTGTTCACTTGCCTCAAGTCGTTTCTTCGTAGTGCCCTGGCAGCTACTTACCTGCCTCTTTTTGAAAATAGGTTTGAAATAAAAACCGTTTCTGGTTGCAGCCCAGGGCCCAGTTCAAACCCCCTATTCATCTCTGCAGGGGACTTGGCTGCCCCATTTCTGCCCACTACCCACCCAGCCCCAACTTCTGGCTCATAGCTCCAGGAAAATCTCAAATAAGCATCAGGCACCCCAGCCCCCACCCCCCTTCTCCCAGCCTATCAGAATATTGCCTGAGCAACTGTTGTCACAGAATGTTCTTTCTGGCCATGGTCTTCTTTGTGTACCTATTTGATGGTGTCCGGGTCTCAGGCTCTCCCTGGGGGTCCCAATCAAGTGAAGGCTGACCCCTGACTAATACATGCCTGCCCAGAAACTCTGGGCACTGACTCTGTAGGTGTGTCTCTTCTACCCTCAGCCTCTGGGGAGGTTTCCAAAAGGGCCAGTTTCCCCAGAGGCATCCTAGCTGGAAAAGGCAGTTGGGTCACTTGAAGCTGGTGTTTCTGGTTTATCTCGCTTTGTTTTCATCAGATTTCTCTGTCCTCTCCATCAGAAACACCCAAGTGTTCCCTGTTGGCTCCCAGTGAGGGACAGTAGGGAATCAACCACCCACCATCCATCCTGATGACAGAGCCAGCTTTTCCTCAGACCCTTAGATTCTCTTCTGTCTTTTTTTATGGGGGGAATTGACCCACTGAGGGCCCAAGACCAATCCCTATAAAAGGAATCTGACACCTGGCTGTACACATAGCTTCCTAGTACCTGAAAGACTATACAGACAACTCCCCTGGTCACCCAAGTCCTGGGGATACAGAAGGGGTCTCTGGGCTGAAGACCTATAGAAAAAGGTCACTTGGAACCTGTCTATCTATGGAATGGGTGGCACAGTGCTGCTTCCTGGGTGTTCAGTGCCCTTGTGTGTGTTGCCATGTCAGGTACTTTCCTTCCCAGATGGGGTGGGAAACGAGGAAACCGTAGGGGCCAGGGAAGATCATAGCTTGGAGGTCTTGTTAGCTTTGGGCGGAAAGACCCTTGGGGGTTATAAGGAGCAGTCCATGAGAGTGAGGGGCTGGCACACTGGTTCCTGCTCTGGGAAACACGTTTGACATCTCTTTCTGCATGTTCACCCAGACTTCATTTTATCTCAACCCCAACACATGGCACCACTATAAACAGACAGCACTCACAAAGCTCCCCCATCACTGCTTCCAGAGTGACCCTAACACTACCAGCCCTCTGCCATCTGTGGGAATGCCTGTGATTCTTAGTTTCAGCCTTCTCCTTTTTCTTAGAAGTACCGCATCTCATTGAAAATGCAGAGCCTCTGTGTCCCTCTGCTGAGAGATTGGGCTTGGGGCAACCTGGGGTCTGGGGAGGTGATAGGCTTGCCTTTCAAGGCTCTTGTGTCTGTTCCTGCTCCCAGGGGGCAGCCTTGTGCCAGTGAGGTAGCCAGCCCTGGCAGCCCTCACCTTCAGTGGCTCTTGTTTGTGTTCAGCTGTGTCTCAGCATGAACCCCTGCCTGGGGAAGGTGTTGCTCATTCTTCTTTCTTAGAAGTTGCCCTTTCCTGACCACAGATTGGACAGACATCACTCTGGGGTTGTTTTCCTGGGACCCAAGCTGAGATGAGAGATGGTGTAGGGTCTTTGTGCTGTAGCTTGTTCCAGCAACAAAACGTACTAATTAAACTTCAAATTAACTAATTCTTGTTTCTTTACAATGTATCCTGGCTTGAAGTTGGGGTTTAAGCCAAAATTTTTGTTGACCTGTTGCAACACATGCAAAAATGCTGAGCATTCTGGGGTGTTTCTCAGCAAATGATGCTCGTTTCCCTGGCCCCAATCCTTTGCTAAGTTCATTGGCAGAAAGTTTTTCAGAGTACAAACTGCTTTCCCCTTGTACCAAATTGCAAAGACCAGCGCTCCAATTGTAAGCTTAAAACTCTGAGACTCTTAGGAAGCATATGATGTTTGAGCAAAATAAAGTGGAAGGATATTAAACATTGTCAAATATGCATAGACAAATAACACACACATATACACATGCATGCATCTGTGTACCCGTGGTCATGTTTACACAGGTATAAACACACACACATGTTTGTATGTATGCATCCCTCCCAGGGCCCTGTCTGGTCTCCGTTGCTGGCTGGAATGTGGTCTTGGACAAGTCACTGCCTCTGTCCAGGTTTCTGCAGCTGTCAGAGGTTGGATTAGGTCCTGTCAGAGGGGTGGGTGATGGCAACACTCTAGAGACCCATCCTCTTGCTCCCTCCCCCAACAAGCCCTTCACCCAAGCTGCACTGCTGCCCTGCCAAGGGGCTCCACCTTCAAGGCACCACTCACTGAATCTTGGCCACATACTAGTGTACAAAGTAAGGTTCTAGCCCATTAGCCTCAGACTTAGCTGCACAGTGGAATCACCTGAGAATTATTTTTAAAGAATCATTCAGCGCCTGAGTCCAGCTCTCAGAGATGCTAATTTAGTATAAAATCAAGCATGAGAAATTTTTCTCTGGGTCCCAGCAAGTCTTGTCCCCAGTTTTGCCCACCTAACCTACCACCCCACCCCTAGGCTAGGGATGTCCCCACTGAATGTCCCACCCAGTCCTTGGGCTTAATGATGGGCATGCACAATTAGAAAGAGTGTTTCCAGCAGAGGCCAGCTTGAGCACCTCCCAGCAGGCTGAGGTGCCACATGCACTTGGAAGATGGAAGAGAGACCCAGGCTGCAGCAGCCCAATTTGTTTCTGCATTTCTGTTGTTTGTGTGCCAGGAAAAGGCCAAGAACCAGGCTGGATGGCCTGGAAAGGCTGTGTGAACTCCTTGCCCTCCTCTGGCTCCTAGAAGCTCCAGACTGGGGGAGGCCACTGGTGATGCTCCCAGTGGCCACGCAAAAGATGGGGACACTGGCCACTCTCCTCCAGGCACCTGGCCCGTCATACTTGCCCAACCCACTCCTGCCCACTCATGACCACTTCTGAAGGGTTGTCTCCAAAGAGTCTTCCTGACACTTCTTCCTTCACCTCATTTGAATTCCCTTTGTGTTGGGCCTTGTCCTGGGCACCACGGCACCACGAAGACATTCAGGGAAAGAGGCAAATGTGACCTTAAGCCAAAAGACAGTGGGCATCTTCCTTGAGTTCCTCAAGCTGAGGGACACATAGGCTTGATCCAAGTGTAGAAAAGGCCAAAAGACACACCAGCCTTATTGGAGACAAAGCCAACGAGAGATAAACCTCCAGAGATGCTTGGTGGGACAGGTCTCCCTGCCCAGCCAGGGGAAGGATTTGGGAGCAGAAGCAATGAAGGGTGGTTCTAGCACTCTCTTGCCCCCAAAGACTGTCTGCTGGTCAGGCAAGCAGCCATTCTGAGAACCCCAAGACAGGAGTCTAGTGGAAGATCCCTTGCTTAAGGAGTTCCCAGCTTCCCTGGAGAGACACAGGCCCTACTTTCTGGAAGAAAAGTAGAGAGGTGCGTGCAGGCACACACACACACTATGAGTACAAGCATTTTTCCCCAAGAGATTCATAGGCCAGCTCCAAATTGGTGCAGCAGTTGGCCCAAGCGCCAACTCAGTCATGCTGGAGGGTTTGGAGAGCTCAGCACTGGATAGGGTCACGTTTAGGAGCTGATTTTTGTACAAGGCTTTGCATGCAAGGAGAGGGATCGGCTGAGAAGAAGAGAAAGAATGTTTCAGGTGCAGTAGGGTGTGACCTATTTGAAAGCTTGGAGGTGGAAGACGATGAGTCATCTCTACAGTGGCTCAACTGCCCTCACAGGAGAGAATGCCCTGTATCTTAACCAAAGAGCTGCCTCCATTTTCAAAGGTTTTGTAGATGAGAACGCTTGGGCTACATGATGACACAAATGAGAATCATCCAGTCATTGTCTGAGGCAACAAAGGGAAGTTGGGCATAAGGACAGTGTCCACCACCATCAAGTGGCAGATTTTCTGATATGGTGTTTACATACTGAAAGTTCACTTGACATAAGATGAGATGGGATGTGTGGACCGGAAGCCCATATTGCTGGTACATTAAGGAAAGTAATAGATACTCTGTGGCAATTGTGCTCTGACCTTGGGATTCTGTGGGTGGTCAGATGCCTCCTGAGGATGACACATGAGTTGGCCAGCTGCCAGCTTCACTGCAAAGCCACCTCTTTTGGCTCACAGTGAATGCAGCCATCTGGAGACAATGGTGGGAAGGTAGAGCTTGACTGGGAAGGTAGAGGTGCATATTGAGATGAACTGAGTGCATGAATTGTGGCCCTTTTCCTCCCATGGAAACAACGATCTTTCTCAAGAAGGTGGCTTTGGCATTCTGGGGCAACACACTGCTCTTCTTTTCTAGATTTATGCCACCCAACAAAGACTTCTTCAGTATTGGAATGCCTATTTGAGTACAATTCAAGGACCTTGACTGTACTGTGCATTAAATGGAGACCTTGATCCTCTAGGGATATGAGGGGAGAAGAAAGAGCTGCTTGAACAAAAGGCCAACCCAACCGAGAGCAGTCGCCTGTATCCAAAAAAAGAGATATGAACCCTGTCTTGGAAAATGCCAACTCCGTGATAGTGGGGACTTACTATTGTGAGGTGGGCATGGGGGCTTTCTAGAAGGGAGTTCTGTAGAAGTGGGAGAATCAGGTGCAGAAGCCCTACCTTCTTGCTCCGGAGATTGACTTTTAGAGGATGTTGCTTACCCCAAACACGCTGGTGTCAGTTGAGAGGGAAACTGCCTCTGGGTGGAAGCAGCTCTCTTACACCCAGAGCTCACCTGCCACCTGCACCTTCTGGTATCAGCACACTGCTAGGTGTGGCTTCAGGTATGTGATATCTCAGGTCTCCTCCCCTCTCTTTACCCCCTTCCCTTGGTGCTGGAGAAGTGGTGTTGGCTGCTGTGATGGCAGTATCAGATTCACCGGGAGCCAAGCACCCCCTTGGTGGTAGACAGGGCTTGGAGGATGCTTTCAAGAGCTGCCTGCTGGGGCCCAAGCTCATGAGAGGCACAGCCCATGTCTGTCTTCACCAGAGTCACTGCAGGAACCTGGCAATTCCAGAGCATCCCACCCCTCGTCTCCATTTGTCCCTGTGTCTATATGTTCAACCCCTACCTCCAGGGCACAGTCCCTCACCACCTCCACACAAAGAAGTATGACGAAGGTGGCAGGGTAGGTGCAGGGTGTTGAAGAGAGAGATGTTTTATCTGATGACTTAAAGTCACGAGTCATGTCACACCCATGGGTTCCCTCTCATGAGGGTGCAAGCCCCATGGGGAGCTTCTGGGAGATGCCTTTCCAAGTAAGAGGCCTCCCTGGAGTTCTGTAGCACTCTTTGTCTGTCACTACCACAGATATTCCATCTGGAAGTAGCAGACTGACCCATATGTGCCCTGTAGTGGGAAATACTAACTCCCTGGTAAGAGCCAAGTGGAGTATGGCCTGCCAAGCCTTAGAAGGGATGACAGAAGTGGGCTGGCTGGCTGGCTGGCTGGGAGGCAGCAAGACCTGGATGCCAGCTCTAGCATCCTCACTGTGTGTCTGCCTGGCTGTATAGCCCTTCCCTAGTGAGCCCACATTCTGGATTCCTGAGCCCACGAGAGTCCTCCAGTCTTCCTGAAAAGCCACTGTGGAGAGCAGGCAAGGAGCACTCTCAGGGCGCTTAGAGTAAGTCAGCATTCAGTGGGCATAATGAAGCCCTCCCTGGACATCACTCACAGGGCAGGCCCTTCTGGATGGGCTGGGCCAGGCAGGGTGGGGTGCTGTGGCTGACAGGGATGGGAAGCCCCTAGGGGACCCTGAGGCAAGTGCACAGGAGGTGGTGATTTGCTGTAGCTGTCTGCCCTTCTTCCTTGTAAACTAAACCCTCGCTTAGGAGAACAGAGGTCAGGCTGCTCTGAATGCCATCAGGCATGTGTCACGTCACCTCATAGCCACAGAGCCCTGAAGTTGTGTGGAGCCTTGGGGTGCCAAGGAGCAAACACCTTCTTTTTACAGAAGAGGAAAGGAGGCCCGAAGCAAGGATATGACTTCTCCAGATTCCAGGCCAAGACCAATGTCAGCTCCTCCAGTTCCCCCCACCCCGGGGCACACTGTGCCAGCTGCAACTCAATGCCTTCACGGCCACTGGGTCCTCCTTGAGAGGGGTTACAATGGTCATCTGGCACTGGATGGAGGTGGCCCCAACCAGAGACACTGGCCTCATTCCAGGGTCACTCCTCCGCTGTCCCATTACCCCCTGCTCAGATAATGCAGTCCCTGGAAGAGGACTTAGGTCTGGGGTGGTACTAATGAATGAAGGGGTGGTGCTCACAGAGCTGGGGAGAGGTCACCCAGTTTCCACTCCCAGGAAGGCCTCCTCTCTCCCTTTGTCTTCCTCTTCCCTTCCCCTTTCTCTTCCCCACCCCTTTGCTTTCTCTCTTGTCTCTATTTTTCTCTTTTCTTTTACCCTTTTCTGCCCCACTTTCTTCTCCCCATTCTCCTCCCCCTCCTTTTCCCTCTTCTCTTGCCTCTTCTGCTCTTCCTTTTTTCTATACTGGGATAGAACCCAGAACCTTATGTGTGACGAGCAAGTACTCTACCACTGAGGTACATACCCAGTGCTTTTTAATTTATTTTGAGACACAACCTCACTAAATTGTCCAGGATGCAACTTGAGACCTTCCTATCTCAGCCTCCTAAGTAGTGGGCTTTACAGGTGTGTGCCACCATGCCAGGCTGGACAGAGTTTCTGATAGGACACCTGTCAGAAGAGAAAAGAAGCATACCCTCCTAAGAGGTTCTCATCATACCACTCAGCTTTATTCTCAGAGGCCACATTTAACAAGAGAGTGGTGCAAAGCTTGCTCTGGCATCTAGGCTACGGAGCCATGACTTGCCCTTCATGGAGCCACTACCACTGTAGCACAAGGAATGGGACCAGACAGGGAGAGACTTGGAGTGCAGACAGAGGAGAGTGTGTGTTCAGAAGCTGGAAGGGGTTGCCTTGTGCTTCCCAGAGGAGGGGGGGGGGTCTTTACTTAGCTTTAGAAGATAGATGGGATGGGATGGTTGCAGCTGAGGAGGGAGGGCAGATTCAGCAAAGGGAATGAAGTGAGCAAAATCGCAAGTGTGTCCTGTAGATTTATGGCTATCCCTTAGAGACACCTCCCAATACTTGGTGAAAGGGGAATTGAGGCTAGCCCCACCAGGAACCCAAATTCCAGGTCTGATTTCTGTGCCAAAGTCACTTTGCTGCTAATAACCCTAATGACATTCTGTTCTCCTCCTGCGGAGCCTGTCATTTGGGGATCGCCAAGCACTGTGAAAACATTAATTAATCCTCATGGGTCCTTTGAGGTTGATCACTGCTCCCCCTTTTACCAGCTGGAGGACTCAAGAAATGAAGAAAGAGGTGGAAGATCACCTGGTCCCAAGGGGGCTGGGCTTCAGTTTGAATCCAGTCTCAGCTGGAATCCTACTGGAGTCCGCCTGCACTGCACTGTGCTCTGGTCTTGGAACGCGGACCTGGAATGTCAAGATACTCCCTATCTTCCCGAAGTGGGAAGCTGATCCTGGTGGAACATGGAGTCGTGCTTCCCTGGGTTGGGATGGCAGTGCTCCCAGACCATCCAGGACAATGCCTGACCTGTAGGTGTATGCCTTCCCAAGGAGTTGGGCAGCCACTAGGCTCTCAAAGTTGTGGCTGGAGTAATCTGTGATGTCTTTTCTCTTGGCCCTGGCTCTGGAGGATGTAGAGAGGTGGAGATGGCTAGCAGATGACTTGTTCATTCTCCTCCTTCAGAAGCTCAGACCTGTCTTCTCCATGGGCATGGTGGACCTGGCTGTAGGGTGATGCCCTGGGAGGAGGTATGGGTAAGTATCATGTCCATCCTGTCTTAACCCTCTCTTTGTCCCCCAGGTTCCATGTATGATGGCTTAACTGACAATTACAACAACTATGGGACTACCAACCGGAGCAGCTACTACTCCAAGTTCCAGGCAGGGAATGGCTCATGGGGATATCCGGTAAGGAACTGCTTCCATTCAAAGATACCTGGAATGTTTGTAGGGATGGTCTGGGGTGCATGGTGGAGAAAGCCTGCACTGCTTTCTGGAAAAAGAAGAGTAATGCAGGCAGAGGTCAGTGCATTTGGGGTCATCAGCTCTGACCAGAGCTCCTAGCCTGGCCATTATTTCAAAGAGGGCTATGTTTACAGCCCCAATTTGAGGTTGATTGATTGTGAATGTCTCAAATGAGAACATTTTAGAAAAAACATAGGGAAGGACATTTCTAAAAGCCAATTTCCTAGTATGTCTGACTCATGGATTTGAGAGGTTTGAATTTTTGAAGTCCATTTTGGACCATTTCTTAGGTTTCTAGGAAAACCCTAAAAAATGTTCCTTCTTTAGCACTGATGGCCATGGCGGGACTCCAGAAGGTCCTCCAAGGCTAGCACAGCCTGTCCACTGTAGTGACTCCTGCAGAAGGGTCTTAGTACTGGAGTGGAATGTTGCTTGAGTTTGTAGGTCAGTTAAACTTAGGCTCAAATTCACTCTGCCACTGATGTTGTCTGTGACACTGAGAAATTATTTTAACCTGTGGACCTTGGGTTCCTCACAGGGATAAAGTGGTTGTAACAAACTCTACTTGTTATTATCAGAGAAAAAGGAATAATGTGCATAAAAAGACAGATTACAATGGTTCTTAAGATTTCAAATAATTAACATAGGTGGAAATTGTTCTAGACTCCTTAATCCTGGTTTTGTCTTTATTTTCCTTATGATCTCAACTCACTCCACCCATCTCTCCACTTACTGAGCAGATATTTATTGAGCTGAGCTCTGGGATAAGGGCTGTGACAGACACTTTTAATACAATAATACAAACTAGGATACATTTCTTGCACTCTTAAATTGGGAATATTGGGATACATGGTACACCTTGTATAGTCCTCAAGGTCTATGACTTTCACTTACTTTTGTGATTTCAACAATCTTGCATTATTCTTGGAAATTCTTCTGTGATTCCTTGAGACACTGTGCGGATAGGGAGAAAGCCTTCCCTGTGGGATGTTGGGGTTCTTCTTCTTGAGGCCCCAGGATCACTGGTGCTTGCTTTGAGCCACATTACTCACAGTGTTCACTCCTGATTGTTGAAGATCTGGGATTATGGATAGGGGGAAAAGTGGGTGGATTATGAGTTGGGAGTTCTTTTGTCATAGGCTTGATTCTAACTTTCTTTCCCTGGCTTTTGCTAGGGCTAATTTTGCAGGCTTTGTCTTTCTTGCATGTTACAGGTTAGGAACTAAAGGGAAAGATGAATTCAGTTTGCTGTAAATTTACTTCTCTTGTTTTGTTTCATTTTTCCTGATTCCTGTTGTCAGCTGACACCCTCATTGCAACATAAACCCAGCTGATTGAGCTCAATAAGCTAGCAGATCAGGGAGGGATGTGAAAGGGCTTTGACACAAAGGATGATGGCCAGACAGACTCTCAGAAAATGTCTTACTAATGCAGGCTAATGGGATTAGGTTAAACCCAAGGAAGGCAAATTATTGGACCTGCAGTCCCAAGTGAAGAATCATGCTGACACCACAGATCCTGTGTGTCTATATGTACTCAATATTACCATATCAAAGCTTAGAAGCTTCGGATTCTACCGTGGCTCAGTAACTTTAGATAAAACTTGGAATCGTTTTGAGCATCAATTTTCCCATGCATAAAAATAAGAATGATGTTACCTGTGTGTCTACTTCACTTGCAAGTTGGTATCGCATTACCTTAACTACAAATGTTATCACACTGACAGTGTACCATGGAAGTGGGAGCAAGTATTTCTGGAACAACCTTCTATGGCCTATATTGATCACTCTGCATTGATTAATAAATTCAGTCCTCAGCTGTTTCCCTAGCTGTTCATGTTCCCAACACTCCCACCTCTCCCTATGCCCATTTTCTAACTAGCGAAAATCTCTTTCCTTCCCCCACCCTAAGGCCCAACCCTCCTCACTCCTTTGCTGGCAGGACTGCAGACGTGACTCATGACAGGGTAGCTGCTGAGGCATGTCCTGTCTCCTCTCAGTTCAGGAGAGGCTATGGGAACAGGCAAGAGCTAAGCACATACAAGGATTTGGCAGAGAGAGGGGGCTGAGTAGGGAGGAAGTAGAATAATTGATATTGGAGCCAGACTTATAATCAGCCAAGTACTGGGCAAAGCCAATGGGGTCCAGATTTAGGAAGGAAAAGAGCGGGAGAAATGGTAATAGAGATCTGTGGTGTGAGATAATCCCATGCCTGTGGGATTTTCCCATGGATGGTACAATTGGCTTGGAATGTTTTATTTCCCACCCTCTGGGGAAACCAATATGGTGGCCGAAGTCAGGGAGCGTGGGGAGGAGGGTGTGGTTCGTCTGTACAAGCATGGTCAGCGTGTTTTCAGGAGCCTCTGAGAGCTAATGAAGACCGTTTCCTGCAGAAACTTTGTATTCACTCAGTCAGCCAACTAGCATTGAGCAATTGCTGGGGCATGGCAGTGAGAGAAGGGCAGTACAGACATGGGTGGAAATACTCTGTGCTTGTCCTCAGTGAACTTCCAGTCCAGTTGGGAGAAGCGGAGGTAAACAGGTAGATAGAATGCAAACTTGGAGTGCTTGCTCTCCTGAAATAGTACACCAATGCTCTCCCTGCTCAAAATGTTTCTAGGACTACCTTTAGGCTATTTGACAAGCCATATAAGAGCCAGTATTACTTCTTCATTGTCAGGACCTGTGTTTGATTAGAATACAATGCTACCCACTTTGAACACCTTGGTCCTCAGATTTGGCTACAATTACAAATTGCAGATCATCTTCAAATAATAAAGCTTTGTTGTCAGTGAGTACACATTTCATGTAAATATGTGAGGACCTTATATATTTAGAACATTATAAGCAATTTCTAAAGCAAGTTCTTCCAGGTGTGGTGGGGAACACCTGTAATCCCAGCACTCAGGAGGCCGAGGCAGGACATTTGCCATGAGTTCAAGGCCATCCTGGCTATATAGTGAGTTAATGGCCACCCTGAACCACAGAGCAAGATTCTGTTACAAAAAACAAAACAGAAAAGAAAACCACTGGGAGACAGCTCAGTAGAGTAAGCGCTCGCCTGGCAAGCGCAGGGTCCTGAGTTCAATCCCTGGTTCTGCCAAAAAAAAAAAAAAAAAGTAAAGAAAACCAAAAGAAAGTTCTAACAATGTTTTAAAAAATACAGTTTTTTCCTACATTTCTTAACAGCAATAGCCTTTTGAATAAAAAACACACTATTTACAATTTATATCACAAATTTAGAAAACTGAATATAGAATCTTGTCATAAAATAAATCTTAAAACAAAGTTAGACTGGACTATAAATCTATTCTAGGACTAGGCTATTTCAGAGCCACACTTAAGAATGTCAGAGTCCCAGTGCTGGTTATGTTTTGCCAGAACTCAGGCCCAGAGAGGGTAGATTACTCATCAAAGGCCACACAGCTGTTTAGCAGCGTAGCAACATAGATCTCTGACCTCTTAACTCCTAACCTGATAGAATTTTATTTTCGTTACCCTAGATGTTTGTACTTTTGTGTGTTTTTATGTATTTGGTACTGGGTCTACAGGGTCTTACTACGTAGATTGCACTCAGTGATTGCCCTGTTTTTGGCCTCCCAAGTGCTTGCATTACAGATACGCGCCACCACACCCAGTCTCAAGCACCATCTCAGTGTGCTCCAGGGGCAAGGCTGGCACCCTGCTGAGGCGCTCTGCCTAACTAGGTGCTTTAGTCCACTGAGCTATCTGGCCAGTCCTGTGTTATGGCTTTTTTATGGGTCCCCACAATCTCCGTATTTTAACACCACAACTGTGTTCCAGGAATTTGCAACTGTTCCCATGAGCTCAAATCCCCTCATTGTTCTCCTCCCCCACCTCGAAACTAGGCCTACTATATGGGGCTCCAACAGAAGAAGGAGGGAGGAAGCCCAGCTTTTTCTTCCTGGATTCAAGTTGGTTTCACTTGTCTAAAAGCATTAATGGTAAAATGCAACAGAGTACAATGTTTGGGACATAGTTTTACTGAAACATTCTTTGTTGTTTATCTGATATTCAAATACAGTTAATATGGGGTTGGGGAGATGTCTCAGTGGAATAAGCGCTTCCCTGGCAAGTGCAACAGCCTGAGTTCAATCCCCGGTTCCGAAAAAAAAAAAAAAGATCATCAATTGACTTCGACTTCAGAGCCCTTCAAATACAGTTAATATCCTAATTCTGGCAAATGAAATACCTGGTCATTCCTATAATAAAATAAGACTCCTTAAGTGCTTCCATCCGGCCTGGAAAATTAAAGCCCACAGCCACTGCTGGTAAGAAAATAAAGGTCTTTTGGCCTCCTCTTAGTTGTCTTCATAGTAAGTCACTTGTATGCCATTCTCTGGGTCAGCTAAGACCAAGATGAGGGAACTGACAGCTGGAACCTGTGGAAGCCCAGGCACTTCTGTTCCAGAGATGAAAATGGGTTTTATCACATGAGCATGTCCCAGATAAGGCTGATACAAGTGAGTAACTTTGATTTCTGAAGAATATATCCAGGTTAGGTTCAGTAACCCCCGTTTCTATCAACTCCAACACTAAAGAGTTTTTCTGTTTTCAAATTGAGAAGCGCATCTTGAGGTGTCAATTCTTCTAGAAGTTACAGCAAGTAAAATGTTCTCTGGTTGTGGACTGAAGTAGAACATCCTTCCCAGATTCTAATCTGTACAGGAGAGAAGCCGTGCAGGTATCATCAGGCAGGAAATCTAGACCAGGGCATATCATGGTGGCCGCCATATTGAATTTTTCCACCAGGCACCCCAGGACAGCGAATCCAGCCCAGTACCTTCAGGAGAGCAAATCCCCAAGGAACATAATGAGGAAGAATTCTGCCTTTGTCCTGGACCTTTCTCACAGTCCTTTGCCTAAATGATATCTCAGTATTTGACAATCCCATTGTGATAGAGTCTTTTGGACAATGTACTA